CTAGTTAAAAGGGGAGCAATGATAGTTTTTACTCATTTTTCTGAAATTTTTTTGAAAATAAAGAAAAATTTTAATTATACTTCAATATTAAGTTGAGAATAAAATTCAAAAGGCTTTTCAACAAAATATTCTAACGATTTGAATGATTTTGTTTAGACTAGCAATTTCTTTTGTCAAGATATTATGAAGGACGTCTTCATAAAATTGAAGATTTTTCGGCATGTTTCGCATGGTTTCCTTTCTAACACTTCAAACGTGATTTGCCATAGAATATTGTCAATGTAATTTAGGTATGAAGAGACATTTTTTTTCACAGTGTCCCAATTGTACATCCCTGCTGTTGAAGCACATTATATTATGAATCGTGTTGCGTGAATCGTTTTAAATTCAAAACGTCGAATTGATGGGACACAATAATTATAATTTAGAAAAGGAAAAGTGAGACATGCTGTATAGGTTTCTTATTTTTATTCACATATATGTGATATGTCTGTATGTATATATACCCGTATACGTATAATTATTCTAATTATCAGTCCAAATTACAAGCAAACCATCGTTCCATCATCAAAATATATGTAAAACGGAAATGCAAAATGAAACATGTATAAATAATTACATTAAAAGGATTCGAACTTTAAAACATTTTGCATCCTAATCAACATTGCATTATCCAAATTTATCTCTTATCCAAATGAACACATACTAAGTTTGAATCCACATAGGACTTTTCAATTTCTACTTATAATTATATTCCTGTTTTTTTTTCCTGATTTTATTATTGACCCCTTCTTCGCGTTAATTTACTTTAAATCTTGTCTTCATTTCAACAAAATCCTTTTGTTTCTAATAGGCATCACGTTTCTAATATTCTTTGAAAATAGATTTTTTACCTTTGTACTTCTTTATTATAATAAATTGGACATGTTTAAATTATCATAGCATCATTGTAATTTCAGAATTTATGGGGATGGAATAATTATATTGGTAAAACTGTTGCTGATTATAACAAGTATATACGGTGTTAGGTATATAGGGCATATGTAAACCGGTGCATTTATTATTATTCAACATTTTAATAAGCAAAAAAATCAACTACACAAGAAATAAAATGAACCAACAAAAAAAATTCTAAAAGAGAAAACGATACTTTGTCCAATTAATCCAAAAAATGTATGTATATAACATTGAAGCATTTTATTTACAGAATTTACCTATTTTAGCTACCGCGTGCATCTAGTAGAGATTTGTGTTAATATTAAGCAAAAACTTACTTTAACTAGAGTGCATGTTAGCATAATTCAATTTCTTCATTATTTAACATTGGTACTCAGGCCACTGTATAGACTGCAGTGTTTATACATGAAACCAGAAGTCAATATTTAAATCAGCACCCATGCATTGTGTTCATAGCAAATTATATCATGCATCCATGCATTAAATTAACGTTCACAAGAACATTAATTCTAAAACTGTTTTTGATATTTTAATGCATTCTTATGTAAAAAAAATTCCTGTCTACAAAACCGAATATTTTTTAGTTTTAGAAATCCAAAATTGGGCTTAATTCTTTTTCTTTGAATTCATTTGTAATAAAATTTCCTATAGGTTTTTAATTTAAATTAAACCGTATAGAAAAAGAGACTCGATTTAGTTGTTAGAGACTCATTTCATTGAAAATATGTAAAATAAAATTAGTTAAGACAAAAACCTTCATGATTAGTTTTCTTGAAATATTACAAAATTATAGTTTAATAATTGACCGACAGATGCTGCTTTAAACAAACATACATACTTAAATTAAAAAAAATTAAATTATTTGTTTAAACGCCATCTACTATCGAAAAGAAGAAATTAAATTCTTTCAACAATTTAAAAGAAAAAAGAAAATTTGAGAGATTTTGGATTTAAGTCCGATTAAAAATTTAATTTTCCATAAATTTTTCTTAATTTAATTGAAAAATTTTATCTAATATTTATCGCTGCAATTTTTAAAGAATACTGTGAAAATACTATTTCCAAAAAAAAAGGCGATTCAATTCAATTTCATTTATAAAAATTGAAAGTGGGAAGGTTTTTACTTATAGAAAAATTTCTTAAATTAAATTTGCATGAGAACATACTAAAATTCCATATTTTTTTAAACATATTGTATAATTATACAAAAAATATTCCGATATATTCGAAATTTTCAATTCGATATTCAAATTTCCTCATTATGTGGTTTCAATACCCACCGTTTTCATCACTACACTTCATTGCATTAGATTTTATTAATTACCCTTATTCTGTTAGTCGTATCACTTGAGATGATGTAATATTATTGGAAAGAATTTCGTTTTTCTAAATAGAATTTCGAATTTCGAAATTAATTTTATTCAGAAAATTACAAGATTTTTAAATAACAGCCCATCATTTCAAATGATTCGACTAACAAAATATGACTGAATATTTAAACGAAATGTTCAAAATTATTTTTTATTTTTTCATTATTAAAAAACACTATTATTTCAATTTTTATTAATTTATTATACGTTTATTATTTAATATGTAATCTTATTTTATACACTATTATTTATTATATAATTTACAAAATTTAGATATTGTATTATATACTTATAGTATTAAATCGTTTAAAATTAGAATAACAAAAAAATATACATATATATTATGTGTACCTTATAAGAATATTTATTTTATATTACACTTGTTTCTTGTATAAGAGATAAAATACTCTTTTAAAAATTATATTTTTTATTTTCATTTATATTTAATAATTTTTTAATATAATTAATTTTTAAACACATTATGTTAATGTAGCACATATTAAAAAAATATAAAAGTTAAAAATAGATGAAATATTGCGAGGAATTTGTGTAAATATTTTTCTTTAAAAATTTTTAATGGAAAATTAATTGTTTTTATGAACATTTTTTTTAATAATAATTATTTTTAAAATTTATTTTTTGTTTGTACTCTAATGGTATGAAATTATTATGAAATTTTAAATATCATACAAAATTCTTGAACCTTCATAAATCAAAAATTTCTTTGCAATTGCAATGATCCATGAAAATATTAAAAACATATAGAATTAGTTTATCTCTCATTTGGATAAGTAAAGTAAAAAGTGAACAAATAAAATTATTCATCAAATAAATGCTTTAATATAGCGAGTGAAATTTTAATAAAAAAATATTCAAATAAAAAAATTTAACAATTTATAATTTTCCAATAAATATTAAAGATACACCATTTTTTTATTGTGGAATGAATTTTAAAAAGTATTTAAAATTAATTTATTTTTATAGTTGAACGTTCAACGTTTCAAACTGTTCGTTAATTTTAGATATTACCTATATTTTCTTATTTAAAATTCGATTTCAAATACAAATATAATTAAAATTTTTTAAATATCCTCAATTTTTAATTTATAAAATTTACACATTTTCTTCTACATTTTTAACTTTATCATTTTTAATTACTATACCTATATGTATTTACTTTTTTTCACATTTAATTTCATTTTATATCGTTTACTTATTTAATTGTACAAAAATTTATAATAAAATAACATATAAATATAAAAAGCTCATAAAGCTAAACTTTAAAAAAAAATATTAAAATATTATTTTAAAGAAGCAAATAAAATAAATAACAACAAATCTAATTTTATATTCAGTTCTGTTGTTATTTATAAACATAATTAAATATTATAATTATTAAAAGATACTATTTTAAAAATAAATTCTTAATTATATAATCCTAATCGTATAACAGAAACATACAATTAAACAAGCAAACGATCTATTATAAATAATGATTATCATTTAACAAAATCATATATTTTATTTTATTTTGTTTTAACAAATTTCTACACTCTTAAAAAATACTAAAATATCATGGTAAACATATTCTCCTATCAGCATGAAGAAAAAAATAAAAAGAAACAAAACCAGAATTTATTTTGAATTTTAATATTATATAATTATAAGCAATTTTATACTGTAAATAAAACATAATTGGTTAAGTTTAAATTTAAAAATAAAAATTATTAATTTATAAATCTCATTTTACAAACATTAAATTATAAATTTCATAAATCACTTGTTGGAGTTTCAAATATAATACTTTTTTATGCATTTAAAAAAAAAACATAAATAATAAAATAAAATTTAGAGATATAAAAACATTAAAATGAAATAATTGAATAATTAAAAATTAAGAACATAATTAAACATATTTTTAAAAACCAAACAAATTTTAAAATAAAAATTAACAAAAAATATTAAATTCACATTTATTAAATACAGACGATTTTTATTTAAAAATATCGTAAAATTGTGTCTAATGTTTTAAAATTTTAAATAATATTTATTGTATTAAAAGAAGAAAATAAATATTAATAATATCAACAAAAAAAACATAAATAATAAATATTTTTTCTTTAATATTATTTTTTTTTTTAATAATAATAATAAAATTATTAAAAATAATTGACATAAAGGAGCTATAAATTTCTCTCTAACTTGAAAGTTAAGAAAACAATTTTGATTATACTATAAGTAGTAGTAATGTACATGTATTATATTTAAATTATTCTTAAAAAATTATATTTTATTTACAGTCTCACTCAACTACAAACATTTTCATGATCTTTCTTAAATAATATGAAAAATATTAATTTTTCTTCTCTATTTATTACATTCAGAATTTTATAAATCTTACTTTTATGATTTGGTTTACCAAATATTAAATTAAAATTTTTTTGTTTCACAAATAATAATTGTTTTATTTAATTTAATATTTAATGAAATATTCATATAAAAAATGTATAAAATATACATTAAAGTTGTACATAAGTACTTTATGGTAAAAAATATATTATTTTATTTTACAAATTTTCTGTTTTTTTTTTTTCTTTTGTTTGTTTTTAAATACATATATACAAAATATCAAATCTGAGATTTTATATTTGAAAAACATTATTTCGAATATCGAAACAATGTTTTCAATAATTTAAAAAAAAAAAAAATTAAAAAGAAACGTTCTTTGATTAAAAAAGGAAAATTTTTTTGAAAAACCCAAAATTAATTTTTGGAACATTTTTCCGTAATTATTTAACAAACGTTTTTAATTCGTTCAACAATAATTATTTTCATTTTAAATTTTATTTTATATTTTTAATAAAATCAATGCCCAGTGTTAATAAAATAAAAAAAATTCAATTTAGGTTTGTTGATATTTAAAAAAAAAAAATAAACATTTCCTGGCATCTTAATTTTTTTACTTTTTTCATTTTTAAATTTTTCCATTCTTTAAAGGTTCTTGTTGTTCAAGATCAGTATCATTGTGTTTCTTTTTCCTTTCTGGTGGATTATTCCATGATTGTAATTCACCAGTACCAAAAATTAAATATATTACAGCACCGCCAATATAAGTAGCAGCTAATATCGAAAATACTTTTTGCCAGGCTAAATATGTTTTCTAAAATGTCAAATTTAATTAAAAAATTAAATTAAAAATAAAAAAAAAATTCTTCGTTTTAAATTAAATACATACATCTTCATATGTTAAAGCTCCAACCATCCATGTTGATAAGAAACCACCAAATGATGATAATGTATTTGCTAAACCAAAGATTGTTCCACTGAAATTTGGTGCAATATCTAAACCATTACCCAAATAACCAGCTGTTACAGCACCATGTGTAAATAATGTAAGTGTAAAAATTGTAATAGACCATACAGCTGTTTTACCATAAAAAGCTTGTAAAATCATTAAAAGTCCAGGTGACATCAAAGCTGCAATACAAAAAAAATTTTTTTTTAAATAAATTAATAAAACATAACAATAATTATGTAACTCTTATTTTTTGATTTCACTAAACATTGATTAGAGCTATATATTTCAAAAAAACAAAGAAAAAAAAAAAAGCTTACCGAATGATGTGAAAACTTTTCTAGCTTGTGTTGTTGTCAATTTGTCATTTTGTCTCAAATAATCAACAAGGAATGATGAACTTAATGCCATTATATATTTACCAAGGTATGGTAAAGATGAGTATAATCCATTCTAAAAATAAAATATAAATAAATAAATTAATAAAAATCTGAAAAACTTAATAAATTCAGATTTAGTTTAATAATAATTGAATTTGTTTCCAATTATGGAAAATTAAAATTTCTGATTAAGAAAATTTTTAAATACTTAAATAGTATTTAAACACGAATATTGAATGTAACCGGACTATTTACGAAAAAAAAGCGTTCATTCACCTCATTAATACGATTTACAAATTAAAAGTGAATTATTTTACATATAAATAAAACTGAAATAACCTTTAAAAGATCACAACAGAATGAGATTAATAAGGTTGCAAAAAAAACAAAAACACTAAATTAAAAAAAAATCAATTTTTAAATTTGGAAACTGATTAGTATTCAAAAATAATTTTTTTTATATTAAATTTGACTTTCTTATATGCCTTCTAAAAATATTAATATAGGATCTTTTAAAAGAACTTCTGAAATAAAAACCTATTTTATCTGTTACTAGCATAAAATTGCTCTAAATATTGAATTACTTTAATGGTACAATAAATTTTTACCTTTTAAATCTTAATCATAAATCTAATCAATTTAGTTACATGCTAAGGTCTTAACTAGTACAATTTTAATATATTTTAATATATTTAGTGTTAAATTACAATTATTAATCGTATTTCATTTGACAATACTTTAATCAACCATAAATTTAGTCTGATTCAAGTTAATTGAGTTTGATTCAAACTCTCAAACTCTAATTTTATTTATTTTGTAAAATACGTACTTTTATGTTTACTATTTATTATCCATGAAATTTTAATTTAAAATTATTTAGATTTTCAAAAATCATCTTTCATATTACAATATTGTTAACATTTTCGATTATAGTTAATTGAAATAAATACCAAAATCATGAAAATTATCACAAAATTTTCAATATCATTACAATACTTCTCATTTTTTTAAATAATCATTTAGTAAAAATTTTGAATGGCAAGTAGCAACATAACAATAATATTTAAAAAATGAAATTTAAAATAAGAAATTTCAATTTTTTTTTTTTTGTATTATTTTTTTTATATAATTTTAATAATTTAATCAATGGAAATTTTTTGTCTACGTTAATGATGATAAAAAATATATTTTTGTATAGAAAAATATCTGCTCATTTTTTTTTTGTTTTTAATATTTAAATGAACATTTTAAATTTATTACAATAGATTCGTTATCAGAAACAAAAGCTATTTTTATAAAAATCTATATATATATATAATCAAAATATTTAATAATTTATTGTATTTGTACGTTTATGGATGTAGATAGACGAATTTAAATAATATTGAATAAGAACAGAAAATTAATAGACAAAAACCAATGTAATTTCAATTATGGAAATAAATTTTCCATTTGATTATAATAAAGTTTAACAAATAAAAAAATTATTACAAATGGAATTGAGAAAATTTACAAAAATTGTCCTATTACATATAAAATACAAAATATAATTGTAATTAACACTATTTCTAATTTAAATCTTATAATAAAATTCTTATTAAATAAACAATAAATAAAATAAAACTAATTCTTTTCTTGTTATTTGCAAAATAAATTTATGTATGTATATAAACGCTTTAAAAAGAATATGAAGATTGGACAGAAATTAAAATATTACCCCGAACTAGAAATAATATTGCCTTTATATAATTTCTTATACTTACACTCTTAATATTAAATTGTAATATTGTTCTCATATATGTTGGTAATTGATTTATTAGAGTAAAGAAACCAAATACAGATAGACCATGTGTTAAAATTATTGCCCAAACAGCTGCCGATGTTAACATTTGTTTCCATGGTACATAACTTGGTCGTGTTTTTGATGTTGAACTACCAATTGCTTCTTCAATTTCATTTCTTTCCTCAGGTGTTATTCTTGGATGTGTTGCTGGTGTATCAAATATAAAAATGAACCATAAAATTGACCATAATAAACCAACACCACCTAAAAGAATTTAAAAAAAAAAAAAATTAATATTTATTATAGATAAAATAGTATTTTTTTTAAAAAAATATTTAAGAAAGTTTAAAATATTTTGATATACTCATTAAATCAATTTAATATTACATGAATCACTATGGTCAATAGTCAATACCATAGAAGAAATGCAATTCTTAATTAAAATAAATTTTAAGATTATTGATTTGGTAATCAGGAAATAGGGAAATACTTTGTAAAAACGTAAACAAATAATTATTTATAATAATTTGTTATGAAATCTTCAATTAAAATTAATTTAAAAAAAAAATCCTACAATACAATTTTTAATTGATTTTGTGAATTGATTTTTTTTTTAAATAAACAAATTCTCTCAATTGAATTATGCTACAATTGAATAAGTCGTAATATACTTAATTTAAAATGTTGTAATCAAAATAAATTTAACTTAATTGAAAAAATTTAATTAAATTCTTGATTTTAATTTAATTGCAATATTGATGTAAAAATAATTTACAAATTAAAATATTAAATAACAAAAATTTTGGTGTTGCCGTCGAAAATTTTCTCATCCTTTTTTTTAAAAACAAATTGTCAACCTAATTTTTTTTTTCTCAATCTTAAAGTCTTAAACCGGAATCGAAACATTAAGTTTTGCATAAGTTCATCTTAGACGAAAAAGAAAAAAAACGAAAAAACTCAGCAACTATTCCTGAATTAAATATGATGAAATTTTTATATCAAGTTTTAAAAACGTGTGACCTTCAAGAAGAAAAAAATTATTGAGCAAACAAAAAAATTAAAAATTCTAATTCTAAAAAAAAACAATCATGCAAAATTTATTTGTTCAAATTTTAATTATTTTTTCAAAAAAAAAAAAAAATACAATCTTTAATTAAAAATTCACAAAATACTTAAAATTTAAAGAAAGAAAAAATAAAAACAAAATCAAAAAAACCAGATAATAAAAGGGGGCCAATATCAAAAAAAAAAATGAATTTTACTTTTCGGTCAGTGTTGCTAATTAACATTTAACCTGAAACAGAAAAAATATGCAAAAAAAAAAGAAGAAGAAGATACTTTCCAAAAAGTTTTATTTTATATTTGCATAAATAATAATTAGCAAATCTTACTTTATCAAAAATATTTTAATGTTTTATAGATCTAATACAAATTCATTAAAGGAAGTTATTGAAGTAGATTTGCAAAATTGATTTCCTTTCTTAAATTCATTTTGTTTTTAATTTAGGATCAGTTTTTCAGGTTAAAAATTCAAATTAAAAATTGTATTATCCATAAAATTTTAATTCTTTTAGTAGAACCAGAAATAGATTTATTCTAGCTTCGATTATTAAGAATGAATTTCAAGAATTTTATCTAATAAGAATTGGTGATATTTTTGAACAACATTAAAATTTTAACCATTTTGAAGAATTCCATTTTAATATAGGAAATGCTTTATATATAAAGTAAAGCAATAGAAGGTTTAGAATAAGAAGCTTTACAACATTGTAAAATATATAGGAGCAAAATACAAATATACAATTGCTGCAAAATACAAATACCCCGAAAAACATTCACTCAACATGAAGTTTGTTTTGAAAAAACACTGAAAAAATGGTAGCACTTTAACTGCATAAATTTCGATATCTGCAAAAAAATTAGTAGAAAATTTGATTATATTAAAGTTTCCTTGTTTTCTGATTAAAGAAATAGTTAAGATTTCTTAACTTCTTCTACTTGAATAAATAAGAAAAATATTAGAAAAAATTGTTTTAATTTTATTTTTTCCTTAAAATTACGGGATAATTAATTATTCATTTTTTTTTTCTGAAACGTGATCTAAAAAATTTATTAAATTTTTTTTTTTTTTAAATACCTTGTTTATTTCTTTCAATTTAAAAATAAGAATTAATTAATTAAGTTTATATGAATAAATGAATGAAAATTATTATTTTTATTTATTATTAGCGTATTTCATTGCCGACAATAACGACGCGACGATGACATAAAAACAATATTAAAAAAAAAATACATAAATACCATGAAAATACCTGGGCTGTGTGTGTTTTGCAAAAAAAAAAAAACAGTGTTATACATAATACCATCAATATAAATAATATAAAATAGCTTAAATTTGTTAATTATGTTTGCGATAAAATTTACTATATTCATTTTTTTTCAATATTTTGTATAGTTTCCTCTTTTATTTAATTTCTTTTTTTAATTACAGTAAACAATTTAAACTGGCACACCTTGAATGATTGATCCCACCAGACTTAAATATTTTAATTTTACAAATATATTGCAGTATTATAAATGCATTTATATAAATATAAATGTACATATTTGCGGAAATTAAATTTGCGATTGGAAATAAATAAGAAAAATTAGTATAAAAGCTTAACATTTCAGAATTTATTGTTTACAGAAATTTCACTTTAAAAAAACAAACAAACAAAAAAAATAAATTTATTTTACTGAATTCTTACTGTAATGGTATTTTAGTAACAAATAGTGATTTGCATGCGGAAAAAATAAGCATAAATAAGCATATCATGTGGTCAGTTTTAAGAACTTTCAACTATGTATGTTATGTGTCTCATATTTTCACTTTTCACATATTGAACATGCCTATTTTAGCCATTCCATTATATTTAGTACGGCAACACTAACAGATTAATTGTCATACAAAAGAAATTTTTTAAAACTTGTACATATATTCATGAGATCACAAAATGTATGAAAATAAGGTGTGATAAAAAAAATTAATTTTTATTTTTTTTTAAAATAAATAAAATTTTTTTTTAATATTAATTGGTTTTATTGTTTCTCTTATCATGAATTTCTTCGTCTTTTCAGTTTAGAATTTTTAAATTGTTTAATTATTTGCACAGTTTTAAAATTTTAAAAATTTGAAAATTATTCAAGTGTACAAGAAACAATAAAAATTTATAAATTTTCCCTTGTATTCAAACTTTCATAATGGAAAAAAAATATTTTTGCGTTCTTTTAATTTTAATAAATTTAATTAACAATTAAGACACAATTGATTAAAATTTATGATCTATTTTTAAAACATTATCATTTGTTGGTTACAACATTTTTTTTGGAGATTGGGTATAAACCAATGTATAAATTAATTTATAAATCGCTTCAATTAATTCAATTATAATTTTCGGATTTTCATAGAAATTGTTTATTTAATATTAAAACTATAGAATTTTCAATATTAATTAATTTCCTATATATAGCTATTAAAATAGGGTAACTAAATATGTATAAGAATAGCCAACTAAATTCTAAATATTTTTTCAAAAATATAACAGAAATCAAGAATTTCAGAGATAAAATTAATAACTGAAGCTGTAGCAACTCAAAATGAACTCATTTTTAGTAAAACGTGATTTAAAATTGAGATTTGGAATTGAAGAGAACAGTTTTTAAAATCAACAGTAAATATTAAATTGAAATTCATACAATTTAAATGTATGAAAAATCCAAAATTTTAAACTTTCTCTCAATACTCCGAATTTGAATGATTTTCATATAAGTTAAAACATACCAGTTGCATAAAATACACTAGCCCATCCAAATGATGAAATTAAAACTCCACAAATTGGCATTGTAATTGCTGCTCCAAGTGATGATGCTACAATTTAAAAAATAAAAATTTAGATAAAAATTTATCAATTATTATTGATTCTTTTTAACATACCCATCATATTTGACATAAATTTTGATCTATCCATTGGTTTTATCCATACAGCTGCCATTGGATGTATAGCTGGCCATGATGCACCTAACATAAAACCTAATACAACACGTACAACAATTAAAAATACATAATGTGTATATGCAGCAAATGGTGTTATTAATGTTAATAAACTAGCCCATAACATGGAATGTCCAAATACACGTCTACCACCAATTAATTCAGCTAAACGACCGCCAGGTAATTCAGTTAATATATAACCCCAAAAGAAACTTCCTAATACAAAATTCTGTTGATATGTATCCCAATTAAATCTTGGTTCTGCATCAGTTGTCATTTTATTTTCATATGTTGATAATGTATCATTTAATGGTGGATGTGCAATTAATGATAATGCTGTTAAATTATGATCTCTTTCATAATTACGAAATGTTTCATTATCAATTATTGATTCTGATGTTGATGGTGTTAATGGTTCAACCATAGCAACAATTGCTATTGTTAAATTTACACGTAATGCATAATTTAACATAAAACCAAGACATACCATTATATTTAATATTTGACGACATGATAAAAGATCTACAAGAAAAAGAAAAACAAAAATATTCGATATTTGAATTTAATAAGTTTTATGTACAACAATGTTTTTTTTTTTAAATTTTATTACATATTTTTTTAATTTCTTCTTTAATTGCGCTACTGTTAATGTCAAAATTAAAGTAATAAAATGTCATTTAGTAAAGACACACGTAAAGGTCATCTGTTTTGTTTTTAATAGTTAAAGTCAAACATGTCGATAACTTAAATACAAGCATATCTATACTTTTTTAACTCAATTCTATTGCTCTATTACTAAAATTTTAAGCAAAAGTTTTATTACTTTTAAAATTAAAAAAAAAAAAAACAATTCCTTGAATTTTTTATGATCGTTCGAAATTATATCCAATTTTTCTCTGCTTAATAAGTATTAAAAATTAAATGGTGAATCATTTTGAGCTGAATTGGTTAAACACAACCTTTGAATGAATTAAAATTATAACAAATAATAAAATAATAATCAGGAAAATTATTAAAATAAAAATTGTCATAAAATATACAATAATTTTCTATGTCAAATCATATTTAAAATAATATTAGCGAAAAATTAAATAATAGAGAAAACCTTGTACAATTTAGAATGTTTTCAACCGCATCACAACAATTCAATTAAATTATAAATTCCTAACGCAAAAAAATTAAAATTAATAAAAATTAGTCGAATTAAATTCAATAAAATACAACAAAATTATACATGCGTACATCCATACATACCAACAAACATAATATTCAATTAATATTCCGTTTTTTTTTTTTTTGTAATAATTACGTTATACTCTCGTACTAATAATGTTATTAATGTTGTTATTATGTAGTTTGCCAATTTAAGAAAATTGAAATGTTTATAAGAAAAAAACGTGTTAAATTTTTATTAAATTTTAATTTTCTCTTTACTTTTTATTAAGCAATTTAATATTGTCGAAAAATTTTTGTATATAAAATTAATTTGACATTGTCATTTTGACTTTAAAATTTTTATATTGATTTTTTTTTTTTTTTAATAAGTAAGATATTTTTCTTGATATACTCAATATGTACAAATATAATATTCCTAATTTTATTAAGTTATTCGAAAAGGCAATATAACAATATAAATGTCAAATTTATAAAACATTAAGAACTCTAATACGTCAATCAAAAAAAAATAACTGTATTAAATGAAAACATCTTGTCAATTCTTTTTATGATTCTTTACTTCCGAAATAAAATTTTAATAAAAATTTATTTTAAATTTTGTACATTGATTCTTCCTTTTTTAAAAAATTAGTGTTGAACTAAATTGTCGATTAAATTAAATTATTTATCGAAAAAAACAAATAAGAGAATTGACGGTCATGGAAACTACACGAAAATCTAATAATATTTATAATTTTTTATGTAAAATTTTTAGTCTGACCCTAGAAATTAGCTTCCTTTAAAATCACAAACTTCTTGAAGTTACTTCTTAATTTCGATGTAATGCTCGACAAGGATTTCCTAAGAGATACTTGCCGGCAAAATTTAATAAACGATTCTTAATGCAAATCTAACGTCAACTTGACTATTTCATCAAAACTGTTTTAATTACAGAGTAAGTCAAATTGATGTCACATCTGCATTTTATTGGACGCCCGATAGTTTAAAAATAAAATATTAAAACCAATAAAAAACCTTATTTATTTGCACATACATAGTTTTATTGCCATCACTAAGATGAGTGATAACTCGAGTCAGTTTAAGGAAAGCACAGCTGCCAACATACCTATGTATCTATGTATTTATTTCTGTAGTTATACTATTCCAGGTTCACCGAGGAAATTAAGATAGCATGGAGCTATATACACTCACCACCTTTACATATTAATTTTTATCGGAATTAAAAGTATTTCATAGTCGAATATAGCAACAAAGCATATATGTATGTACTTATGTACATGCATGCAATTCAAATCTATAATAGACCCATTATTCATTAATAATAAAAAAAAATCAATAGATATTGACATGCCCCCAATTACGTAATCGGTGAAGTTATGATTTATCAGAAAGTTATTTCCTTTTCTTCTTCTTCTGTTTTTTTATATAAATTCCACTAAAATGTGGTACAGTTTTTAATGGCAATAAAATAAAAAAAGAAAAACTTAATAAATTAAAGTACAAAAATGACTAAAGTTCAAGATCACAGTTTTTTTTTTTTTGTTTTTGTTCCTTATAGCTTGTTGATTGAAAAATCTAACGCACGAAACCGCAGAAACTTTTTTTTTAATAATAATGCTATAAATTATCAAAAAAAAATTCATAAAAGAAATTTTTTTTTTTTTAACTAAACCGGTCGCTCGATTTTTCTGGTAGGTAGCTTTTTTTTTAATTTTTCTGTTTTAATTTTTTTTGTTTTTTCGTGTTATTAAAATAGCGAAAATACACGCAAGCAAAGTTAAAAAGTTGATAATGAAAAAAATAAAGAAAAAACAAAATTAACAAAAAATTAAAATGACAAGCCTCCAAAAAAAATAAAAACTTTATTCACTTGTATTTGCTTTAAAGATAAAAAAAAGGTTGATTTTTCACACACAATTCTTTTGAATATGAACTCGTGGCATAAACATGTGGCTCCTGCATACGAAGGGTTTTATTCTTTATTATTTATTTTGTAGTTAAGAAATATATGTAGATGGCAGTACATGCCTTTCTTTCTTTTTGTACCTAAAAAATGTACGTATGCATGTATGTATAAATATGTACATACGGTACGTATAGTTAAGTAATGTAGAATATAAGTGCGCGAACCTACCCAAGATAGAGATAGGATGTACTAAAATTATTGAAAAAAAAATCAAAAATTATAAACAAACAAAACAGGAAAATTACTTTCTGTTTACACATGTAAGTATGTATGTAATGTACATATACGACAAAATTTACGATATAATCTGAGTCCGATGAAAGTCGTATCTTGTTTGACACTTGAGTTTGTCTAAAGGGAAAATAATAATAGAAATTACTCTATCCCCATCAAATTTTCAGATTTGTCAGATTTTTAAAAGTAAAATGACAATTATTTTCTTTTGTGGTAGTTTGTAACTGCGAACAGCTGACTTTCGTTACGATTATCTTTTTCGTAGCAAAGACGTAAAGTCTGAGCGTCATCACATAATTTCAGTCTAATATTTCTAATATTTTTAATTCTTTAGACTTTATCCACAATTTAAACTTAGATTTTGTCGTATTTATAAACAGTAATTGTATACTTTAAATTCATGAAGGCTAACTCAAACACACTGGTATGATACATTGAGATCAGAAAGTAATTTTAAAAACCTGTTTTTATTGTATATGTAACTCACATTCACTTGTTGGAAAAACTCTGTATTATTTTCTTCTAAATTTTTTTTTTGGTAGTAACTAATAATAATAATTTTAACTAGTTCATTAGTAATTTTTCGGTTTTTATTAAACACTTCTAAAGTTGATAACCCCAGGAGAATAATATCCAATACACAATAAAAAATTTTTGTTATTTAAATTTGGTAACAGCGACATTTTCTTTTATTATTTTTTTGTATGTATGTATATATGTACACACCATAACGGTGATTCTTTTTATAGATTTTTATTATAATTTTATTATACCTAAACATAATACGTACCTACTAAAAATAAATTTTTGGCAAAAATTCATTTAAATACGCAGAAATATAATATAAAATTGAAAAATAAAGAGAGAAGCAAAATAAAATGAATGATTCTGAATAATCATAAAAAAAAGGGGAAATAAAAAGAAAAATCAAAAACTTATTTTTGATTTTTTGAATCAAAATTAATAAAATACAATAAAAAGAAACAAGAATTACAATATAGTAATGTTATGTTATTATAACTGTTATTCTCTATATCCGGTTATTTTAAAGACAAGTTCAAATTGATATGAAGTAAGAAAAATTGAAAGTTGTATTGACATTTTTTGTGAACAACCTGTTATACGCAGCAATAACTACATTTTTATCTACAAGCAATAGTATAACACATTTGTATGTACATAAACAAATCCAAAATATATTCTACATTATTTTACAGAGAATGCAGAACATAATATCTTAATTGCTTGCCTAAATGGACGCGGTAAATAGATGATTGATCTTTACTTATGTATATATAAAATGTCAAAAACGACAAAAATATTTTTTTTTCAGTATTTACACTACTCGTTTGGAATTCAAAATTCAAAACCGGTACGGTTTGTGCACAGAATTTTGGGTGATCTATATTTAAATAAACATGTTAAACAAATTTTGATTTGGCAACTGCATACCTCGTAAATTTAACTCTTGAACAGTCAAGAAAACCCAAATAAAACTATTAAATTTCATAAAAAATTTATGTTTTAAGTTGAACAAGTACGATTTTCTGCACATATTACACACATTTAGATGGAAATGCCCAGAATCCAGTGAAATTTCCGCCGTGAAATAGCCTAAATTATTATTTTTCCTCTGACGGCTTTTTGACATTATCTGTGTGTGCGACATTATATGCAAAATATACTATTCAATTGATGTTGCCGTTTCTTTTTTGTTCTGGGTTAATAGAAAATAGTTCGCCGTATAGCCGTTTACGACTTTGATTCTACTTTCACAGTAATTAATGTAATTTCATATCATAACGTACATTTAAAATATTTGCACTCACAAACAATGAATAGATCAAGAGTTATGATTAATTGGGTTCATAAAATTTTAATTTTAATATTAAATTAAATTAAAATTCATTTTGCAGAATTCAAATTACTCTACAAATTTAGAAATATTGTATACGTATGAACACACACAAATGTAATTCTTTGAGCATCGATTGTCTATAAATAAGGTCAACAATATTATAAATTTCATTTTTTTTTTTTGATAATTGGGTTATTACGTTCATATTTTTTTCGATAATATTCAAAATCTTGTTTTATAAATTAAAGTTTTACACTAAATCTGATTTTAATTGATTATATGTGTAAG